TCCACGACATCGCGCCGAGGACCTTCGACAAGGGCAAGATGGAGTCGCCCTCGTTCAAGATCCTCCATCGCTGCGCTGCTGTGAGTCGCCGGGGCCCTAGAGGGCCTACTTGACGGCATGCCTTCAGGTATGCAATGATGCCTCTTTTGAGAGCTCGCCAGAGAATATGGAGAAGCCCGTGTGGGACCGCACGTGTGTGAACGGCAATGCTAGCGACCATGGAATATTCAAGTTCACTGTGCTGGCTGGAGAGGACGTTGTGAAGGATCTCCGATCAACTTATAGGATCTCTGGAGACGGCACTGAGCACCCTGGTAGCTTTTTCATTATAGAGGCTCTCAAGCTGTATGTATTACCGCTTCCAGGACGCGTACCGTTCAACTCGAAATACAAGTTTGCTGCTAGTCTGTGCATCAATCCGGACAAGGCTGGGATCATCGAAGTGAGATACTAGTTGGGTGCATATTTGAGTTTTTAATTCTTTGGAGTTTCACCCTAGTGATATGAAAAACACTAGTGAAAAATATATTTCGCGACTACTACAGGCCGCGAATATCGCGTTTTTCACCGAGTATTACGCCACTTCACGTCAAACGGGTAAAACGCCATTGTTCCTTTTCAGTTCATGAAGGGCGCCCCTGAGCAAGTCTTTGACCGCTGCTCTCACATTATTGAGAACGGCAAACGGGTCCCGATCACACCAAAACACAAGAAGGTGGTGCTTCCGCTAATTTTTCTCTGCGGGAATGTATGTTAAGTAGGCTTTCTCCGAGGCTAATCTGCATCTGGCTAGTTTGGGCGAGCGCGTCTTGGGATTTGCCGAGCTGGAGCTGAACCCCGACAAGTTGGTTTCAGATGGAATGTTACTGGTCTCTTGAGAGTCACCTCAGGTACCACGAGGAATTCAAGTGGAACACTGAGGACTTCAACTTCCCTTTGGAGGGCCTCACCTTCTTGGGAGTCATCTCTCTGGTCGACCCGCCGAGGTCGGGCGTGCCACAAGCAGTTGCCAAATGCCATGGGGCTGGCATTCAGGTGAAGTCGTCGGGCTTGGGGGTATCACCTCTTCGATAAGGTCTTCTGTTAGGTTATTATGGTCACAGGAGATCAGCCGGCCACAGCGAAAGCCATCGCTAAGCAGGTTGGTATTATTAAATCTAAAACGGCTGATGAAATTGCGGCGGAGCGAAACTGTGACATCAAGGACGTGAGGGGACTGGGAGTCGAGTCACTGAGAGGGATCGTCCGTGCAGGTGCCTCTGGAAGATGTTAATGCCGTCGTCATTCATGGCGATCAGTTGAAGGGGATGACGGACGAGGATTTGAAGTTCGTGTTGTCGCACTATAGGGTGAGTCGGCGTGTCCGTCGGTTGTTTTAGTTGATGCATTATACAGGACATTGTTTTCGCGAGGACAACGCCGACCCAGAAGCTCAGAATCGCCGAGACTCAGAAGGAGCTCGGAAAGGTGACGGCCATGACCGGCGATGGCGTGAATGATGCCCCTGCACTGAAAGCGGCGAATATTGG